CACATGGGAGCCCAGTGCCCTTAACCAGCACTCCAGCTGGCAGCCCCTATAAAAATAATTCTTAAAAAGGAAAGTTTGGAGAGACCAGCAGATGGTGTAATGGTCACAAAGCTAGACTCCCATGTAGTCCACTGCAGTTCACGTCCTAGACCTGCAGCTTGAAACACGCCAGGCGCGTGTGCGTGTGTGCCCAGGATCCCGAGAGGAGAATGGAGGAGAAGGGGCTGAAGTGTGGCCAACCCCCCTGGGGAGTGATATCTCGCTTCCTGTCTCTCTGGTGAGTGCACACACCCTATAGCAAAAACCTCTCTTAAAGTTTTCATTACAATTTCAACAAACGAATTAAGAACCAGTGAGAGGGATGATGGAGGTTTTAGAGGACACTAAAAACAGAAAGACTGAAGCTCCAGAACAGAGGACCAGTAGAGTGAGGTCTGTGTCCATGACAGAGGCCAGAGGATAAGCAGGAAGAGGAAATCACACAGGCCTCAGTATTAACTACGTGAGCAAGAGGGACTGCTGTGCAGAAAGGCCGGTGGAGAACGAAGGAGCAATGTGCAAAAGACACAGCAGTGGGCCGGGGCACGGAGGTGAAGGCACCGGACTCCCACCTGGGCGACTATGGTGCGAGTCCCAGATTTTCTCTCTCCCTCTCTTGGTCTCTCTCTGGTGAGCATGTGTGCCCTATGGCAAATTTAAAAAACAATAATAAATAAAATTAAATAATTCTATTTTTAAAAAAAGGGGGGCCGGCAGGTGGCATGGTGGTTAAGGGCTAGACTCCTACATGGCCGACTGCGGTTCAAGTCTCGGACCTGGCGGCTTGCTTTCTCACTTTCTCTATCACTCTGTCCCTCTCTGGTAAAATTAAAATAAATAAATAAATAAACTTATAAAAAAATTTTAAAAAGATGACATAGGGAGTAAAACTAAAGAGTTAGAGCATACATTTAAACATGCACAACTATGGAGGCTAGCAGGTGGTAGTTAAGGCTCTAGACTCTCACATGGCTGCCAGTGGTTCGAGTCCCGGACCCGGTGGCTTGAGAACCACACCGGGCACATGTACCCAAAATTCTGAGAGGAGAATGGAGAAGGGACTGCAATGTGGCCAACCCCTGGGAGCTGGTTTCTGTCTCCCGTGTCCTTCTCTCTTTAGAAAGCACACACACCCAGAGCCAGCAGGTGGACTAGTGAGTCAGGGGCCCGAATCCCCACATGGTCGACTGTGCTTCGAGTCCTAGACCTGCAGCCCTGCATTCTCCCTCTCTCTCTCCTTCTCTGGCAAAACTCATGTGAAAAAATAATAAATAAAATAAATAATTCTTTAAGAAAAATAAAGTACACATACCCTTTGGAGCCAGTAGGTGGTGTGGTGGTTGGGAGCACTGGACTCCCACATGGCCAGCCGTGATTCGAGTCCAGGACCTGGTGGCTTGCTTTCTCTCTCTCTCTGTCTCACACACACACTCCTTCTCTGGTCAAATTGGAATATATATATGTGTGTGGGTGTGTGTGTGTGTGTGTGTGTGTGTGTATAAAGTTGAATAAAATTTAAAAATAAGTGGTAAAAACAAAAAAAAAAAAAAAAAAAAAAAAGTAAAGCTATTTAAAAACCAATGCCAGGGCCACCTCTAGCTCCCAAGCTCCGGTGGCTTAAAACTCACGCCGGGCGCGTGTGCGTGCGTGCCCAAGATCCCGAGAGGAGAATGGAGGAGAAGGGATTGCGGCGTGACCATCCCCCCTAGGGGGGTGATTTCTCGCTTTCTGTCTCTATGTCTCTCTCTGTCTGTCTGGCGAGCGCACGCGCCCTACAGTGAAAATCTCTCCCCCAAAAAAGAAACAAAAAAAACAACTTTTTCTCTTCTTCCTGTTGTTGGTAACTGAACGTTAGATTTTTTTCCCACAGGGTCAAAAGGTACCTAAGTACATGACTGCAAGTGGAAAATAGGGGACAGAAAGTGGGTACTTTTCATTTGTGTGTGGATTTTTAATATAAATGTGGGGATGTATGGCATTAATGCAAGTCAAAATGTTTTGGTGAACGCGTTTCAGCAGCTCGACTTTATAACGATTATAGATAAACCTGTTAGATTTTCTGGACTATGCTGGCATTTGGATTTTCTAAAACAAGTGAACTTGTTGACGGCGACTCGACGGCGTCGGCAGCCCTCACCGTCCTTCCCTAGCCGAGTGGGCTCCCCCTGTGGTCTGTCGCCTGTGCTGTTCCTGTAAGCTTGCTATTAAAATGCATGAAACTAAAATAACAATAATAATAAATCAAAATAAAAGCCAAGGCCAGGACCAGCAGATGGCGGAATGGCTACACTGCTAAATTCCCACGTAGTCAACTGCAGTTCAAGGCCTGAGCCTGGAGGCTTAAACTCATGCCAAGCACATGTGCGTGCGTGCCCAAGATCCCAAGAGGAGAATGGAGGAGAGGGGACTGGTGTGACCATCCCCCCTGGGGGCGATTTCTCACTTTATGTCTGTCTGTCCAACAAGTGCATGTGCCCTACAGCAAAAATCTCTCTTAAAACCCGAGGCCAAGACCGCGGGTTGCAATGAGCTGAAACGGCAGGGCAGCTGCCTACGAAGCCACCTACAACCACAGGTACCTCGGACACGGCTGCCCACTGCTGGGACCGGACCTGAGGCGGTGCCACTGCATGCATGACCCTACGGTGGTCAAAAAGCCACAAGGAATTGTCAAAACGCTCCTTTCAAAATAAATCAAAGCAGCACAGCCCACACGAATGTTAGAAAGGATAGGAAAATGAAGTTTAGCCCACACTGTGGACAAGAAAGGAGTGCAGATGAGGGGACCAGGGTGCTCAGAGGGCCGATGTGAGATGTTCAGATAGACCCTGTGTGTGTACTTAAGTCATTGGAAAATTATCCAAATTTTCCAACTACAAGAGTAAATTACTTTAAAAATTAGCACGTTGTCTTTAGGAGAAAATCTTTCATTGCATCATCCCCAGAGGACACCGTGAAAGGCATGCGTGGAGTTGAGGGTCAGCCTCCTCCAGGAGGAGGGCAGCCTGGACCAGGGCTGGGCAGCAGCACACTGGGACACCTGAGCCGTAGCGTGGCGAGTCTGCGCAGAGGGCAGGCAGCCACGGCACCGCGAGGAGGCAAGCTCAGGCGAGCGGGTGCCCCGGGGTGTGGACAGTGTCCCGCTCGCTCACACAGCTGTGTGTCAGTGAGCGCAGGAGGCGGTGGGCGTAAAGGCAGGGTCCTGGCTCGGGCATCAACAGCACACACGTCCGGACAGTCCCCTCCTCGCAGGCGCCCCGCGGTAAACACCTAGGCCCAGCTCAGCTGACGGCCTCCCTGGGCCACACCTACACCCACTGTCTCCAGGACCACCTGGTGGGGGCTCATACAACAGGAAGGTGGCCAGGAAGACGGACGGACATTAGGACTCCTTCCCGTGGGTAATCTGATTATCTAAGTGAAGTATTTCCAGAAGGTTCAATGCACGTGCCCTATAGCAAAAACCTCTCCAAAAAAACAAAGAAGCTGAGTGTCGGTAAATCCAGCTGTAAGAAGGCACCTTACAGTCTGAAGTCAAGGTAAAGAAAATGGCAGCAAGGAAGAGCAGACGTCACAGAGGTGGATCCTCAAGACCAGCCACGGGCAGGCCTGGACACAGCAGGCAGCCTGACCCGAGTCTGGACCGGCTGCAGGGAGCACGAGAGAGTTCCAGAGGAAGAGGACCCCCAGGGCTTGGGATAAGGGCCTGGCAGGTGGTCTCTGTGCAGGAGGCCCGGGCCTGGGGACAGGAAAACGGCCCAGACCGATGGGCACGTTGGACATTGCTCCCGCACGCTTGACACCAAGACAGGGCAGCTCGTGAAGGAGCCCACTCAGAGACAGAGGGGAGAGGAGGGAAGTGCACACGTAGGCTTGAACTGTGCATCTGCGCACCGCCCTCCTGGCCCCACACCTGCACTGCAGGCTCCCGCCCGGCACTGCCTTAGCCCAGGCTTACCCCAGCACTGTCCTGAAACCAACCCCACTGCCGGGAGGCGGGAGGCTACAGGCTGAGGCAGCAGCTAGGGCAAGCCACCAGCTCCCACCGGAGCCGGGGAACTGCACCGTGACCACGCCAGCTCACAGACATGCGTCTTCCAGTGGCAGACTAGATGCAGGAGCATCGGTACAGCTGATCACGAGCCCGCAGCGCCTGGCGGAGCCCCTCGGAAGGCCCCAGACCGCCACAGCCGAGCCTGACGCAACCGAGACGCGCCCCTGCTTGGAGCGCTGTGCATGCATCTCACACGTGTGTGCGCACGTACCGTGTGCACCTCACACGCATGCGCACACGACCCCTGCTGGCTCACCTGTCTCCATTAGCTGTGATGGACTCAAACTTGGACTTTTTCTTTGGGATTTCATTTTGAATTGAAGATGTGGAAAGTGTTTTCTGGCTTTTAATGGTAAAAATAGAAAGTACACACATTAGAAATCAAAGAGGAACACAACGTGCCAATGAGCACCCGCCACGGGCCAGCCAGGTGGTAGGTCTCCCGTGCAGGAGCTCTGCAGCCTCCGTCACTGGAGGCCACCACGGCACCCGCAGGCCACAGCTACCCCTGGCCTCAGTTAAACCGGCCGCGCTAGGCCTGGGGTGAGAACGCGCACGAGAAGTGCAGCTGTCTCAGTTCAGGCCTTCACCCTCGGCACTCGGTGAGGTCCACTTGGCAGAAACTGACCCTGTCATCAAGGTCACCGGACTGCCCGAGGCAGGGTAGCAGTGAAGCGGGCCCTGAACTCGGCCACACGTGGACACCGAGGCCCCTTCTCCACTCCCCTCGGAACCTACTGGTGGCTGAGTCCCATGGTGGCGCTGGGAGTTGGTTTCAGCCCAGGGGTTCAGCCCAGACTGGCCTCATGATGCCAGCCGGAGGCCAGCTCAGGCCAACAGTTCTTCCTGTGACAGACATGCAGCTGAGGAGCCCAGGTGAGGGGTATCTCAGCACTCCTCACACGCCCTCCCCTAGGATCTGAGCGCTGGCCACTCCACCCTTCTAGAAACGTCCTCACTGTTCACCCTCTGTGCTTGGGCGGCCGCTTCATGGCCCTCTGGCCGCCCCTGCCAACACACAATGGTGTAGAGTTCTCTCCTCTGCCTTCGAGCTGTGGACCTGACAAGCACAGCCTCAACAATCATGCCCTCGGTGGCCGGAAATGGACCCCAGATGGCTGCCTTTGATCCGGTACACGGCAGTTCGCCGGGCTCCACCCTGGACCCTACCTGAACTCCAGACGGACCTGAGGGAATCTGCAGTTTCAAATCGTTCCCACTCCCCGTGACTCCTACAACCTCCCAGTGGCCACGTCCAAACCACTCTGAGTTCTAGGTAAGCCCCTACTACAACCCCTTGGTACCTCCAACTCAACTGCGAAACTGAATTCCCCCACCCTACTCTCAGGGAGGAACACCGGCTCCCCCATGAGAGCCCTGGCACCTGCCTTCCCACTCGGCTCCTGCCCCGTCTGTCAGCCTGCCAGTCTCTCGCCTCACACACGTGGAGGGGAGGAGAGAGACGGGGCAGGGGCAGGGAGAAGCACCCTGGACAGCATCTGGTCACTCTGTAACCCCTGGGGGGCCTCCAGCTCCGGGCGACCCTGCTGCTCCTGTGCCTGCTTGGCATCTCAGGCTGACTGGGGATCCGAACCTAACCCTAACCCACGGGCCTAAGAGACGGGGGCAGGTCTGTCTTCCGTACCGCCTGCATCCTCTTGGCCAGGGCACGACTCCCCTTCCTGTCTGCATGGGCCTGCCCTGAGAGAACTCGCGATGCAGGGGTGAGCAGGCCGGCCTAGCGGCAGGGAGCCACGGCGGTCCCTCCCGTGCAGGTACACGCCCTGTCTCCATGCTGCATTCCCTGCACAAGCGGAGGTGCACCGCCATGCCCTCATGCCCTCATCGGACAGGGATGAGAGCGGCCCACCCCGCCAGGGAACATCCCTCTCCCAGGGAGACTGCCCCCCAGTGCAGGCACTGCCTGCCAGGCACAGACAGGGATCTGAGGCCTCTGGACACACACGTATCCACGGCCTAACGGCGAGGTCCCCCGCTCGCGCTCACCTGCCGTAAAGGCAGGACACAC